ATATCTGTAGCTGCACTGATGATAACAGCTCCTGCTTACGTATAAAACAAAAAACATAAAAAAGGACTAGTATTAAAGAATGTCTTAAAATTCGAGCAGCAAAGCAGAATTTGATTGAAAAGTTAAAACAATAGCTAATTTATGGGCATTATTTATAAGAGTGGTTTCTTAACTTATTAAAAATACCAGTTAACTAGTAAAGGTTTCAGATGTTATTGATAGAAAATGCTTTTTCCAGTCTCCTTTCCTATCCCCTAGACCGGGCGTGGCCTGAAGGCTAGCGTGTGGGTGGAAAGGTCCAAAATTTGAACCTGCAATATGCCATTGAACAACTCCAAAGTGAGTATAAAAGTGATAGTTAATCTTGCTATTCGGGTAAGCAAACAGTGCTGCTGATCGGTTGAAGGCCCTCTGAACAACAGTTCCAAATTAGGGATGGCTATGTCTGAACTTAGAGGACTTTGGCAAACTATTTAGCCTCTGTATCGTTAAGAATGAAAATGCCAAACCTAATAACGATGTCTCTATCTCCAATATTTGTTTTCTAATCTGTAAGCATTTAATAAGAAATGTAATATTAATTAGTATTGTTACGACAGCGGAAGTAACGTGACGCTGGTAACATGTAATGAGTATCTCGAACGTTCCTGAAGGCTCGAGCGTTTGCTAGACGCAGCTCTTATTGTATATAAGCCGGCAAATAGAGTGACGGCAGGGTAAATAATTGAATAGCAGACAGGGAGATAGAGACACATAATGGAGTCAAGCCGTAAGTAAAGTGTGTAAATCGTTGTGAATTATTGCGTGTGTTTAAGTTAAAGTGACTGTGGAAATTAAGTGTATTGCAAAGTTGTATTGAGAAAGAATAAACTAGTTTTATTTAAGAAAGGACTTGTATCGCTTAAGTTTCACCTGAAAGAAATTATACGGGAAATTAACAAACGACCAGAGACGTAACATTATGTTGTCTATGATTATCATATCACTTTTCACTCTTATATGTTTGTACATCTTATAAATTGTATTGTAATGTTAAGCGAGTAGATAATCCCTTGCAAGTTCTCAGTTTTGTTTATCTGATTCGAAGACCATAAGTTAGAGATTAGAATTGAATTAAGGCTTTATTCATAAGTTATATTAACTAGGATAACGTACTTGATCATCTGGTTTCAACATATTTAGTAATGGTTCCCTTGGAGTATATAATGGGTATTTTAACAAGGTGTTACTTATAGTTCAGTGAATAGTTTGAACATTTGAAACTACTGATCGCTGAAACTTAGTTATTTTAATATTTACTTGATCAAAAGAGTTGGCAGAGCAAGTAAAGTGCTGAGTACTTACGATAAGGATGTGATAATCGTTGTCATGGTTAACAGCCTATACGGTCACCGAAGTCTAGTTGCTGTTATTTATGTATTATTGTTACCGTTAGATACTAATTACCAATTCGTTTAAAAAGGAAGGGCTGACGGCCAAGGCGAGTGGATAGCATTCCTTCCGTTGTAACAAGAAGAAAAATGATTATATAGCCCTTCGTAATGGTATCCTGAAGACAGCAGCAGATTAGCAGCCCAATATTAGGGTATAAACTATTTAGCAATTAGCAATAATAATAAATAGTAATTAGATTTAGTAATCTTATAGCAAATAGCCAGAACAACGGAGTTAAGTATTAGTTGATACACCTTAACTGAGTATGGTTCATTTTTATATTATCTTTCATACATCTATCGTCCTTTTGAATTTTATAGGTAAATTATTTTATATATCAAATTATGACGTTTTTTTATCAATATTTTCTTTGTTACCTTGACCATAGCTTCTGGGGATTTCTTGCACCACTACGTTGATCTCTGAGCCTTTGCATGTGAGATAATGGAAAAGAAAACAAGATTATTTAGAATTGTTAATTCAAAAAGGGGGGAATAGGGATCTTCAAAAAATTAAAGATAGGTGGATTAAAGTGAAAATGCAATCTCAAAAAAAAACAAGCTTAAGGTTTGAGGCATAGCTAAAAATCCCTATTTTGACTCTCCTGAATATTACAGCTTTTAGATCTGGAGTCAAAATAGGGATTTGTAGTTTGAAGAAATAATGTCAACACTATATCTCAAACGTTAAGTTTTTTTTACTTTTTGCAATTGCATTTTAACTTTAAGCTACCTATCTTGTTTCTGTTTTTTGAAGATCCCTATTCCCCCTTTTTAAATTAAAATTTTTGATAACCTTTTTTCTTTAATTTTTTATGTCCATCGTGGATATTAATCTGTATAATAGCAATACTATCCTATTTAAAACACTTTACTTTAACGAAATATGTAGTTGGTGTATGATGCTCTCTCAGGAAATAATGACAACTATAGATTGTATTCATGCAGATTGGCTGGTTATTGCTCCTGATATCATTGCAACAATGTTATCATTGATAATAATACTGCATGTATGGTCACGATGATGCATGGCGATCAACATATCACATGTTATGTGTTTGCTTGTGAAATATTTTCGCTACTATATTCATACCCCAAACGCTGGATTGAAGGGATTACTGTACTGGAATGGTGCATGGACTGGATTCTGTAACCGCATGAGTTTTACATGAAATGCATGTTGGCTAGTATTTATAGATGCAATCTTTATAGTTTTTTCAACTTGTAAAGATGTGTATATATATATATATATAGCCAAGTTGTTTAGATGTATGCATGTATATTCAATGCAAATATGAGACAATGCGTCATAACATAATAGGATATGTATACAAATAAGTATTTCTTATAGTTGTTATATTTCCCCCTTCCTCCTCTCCACTGGCCATAGTAAGGCTGTCACGGTTTTGCTGCAGCTGGCCAGATTTATTTTTTGAGTGACATTCTGTACATTCTACAATGTCGAAAACGTGTTAATTAAAAATTATGAATTGATTACATTAATATACCCCCCCCCCTCCATTTGTGATGGAGTTTGAGTGGTGACACTTCTACGACCCTCTTCCATTATGACGACCCTAAACTCTGGTGGGCCGTCGTTGCTGCATACTTTATTTAAAACTTAATATTTTCTGAATATAATATGTAGCTACAAAATTTCTGCTTCACTTTCGCCTAGAATTGCCATCCTTTTCACCATCTCCTGCTTGCACTATTCTTGCCACTCCTTATAATCAGCTTCAAGAATGACTGCTCTATCTGCAGTGTTGGCTATAATTCGAAACTGAGCTTAGTGCTATCTTTTAAACAACGACTTAAATATTTATGTAGTGGAGAAAAATCTAGACATTTGTGTGACATGGCCAAAATCGATCATGCAGTGGTAACAAACAAGATGTGGTCCTGTCAGCAGCGTCGTGTCCGAAAGGGCAGGAACCCTATATATAAACAAATGATACGCAGCATCTATACAAGTGCAACATTAAGTTAATAATCGCTATAGAACATAAAAAAAAAAGCTTGCACTGCAGTAGACACATTGACTTTATGCCTAATCTTCGAAACGTTCGGGACACAAATACAACCTTGCATTTAATGCTATATAGTTTCTTTCTTTTGTACTTATCGCTTTCAACAATGCACTGCTCTGTATTAATTGCTTTCGAATTGTGTGTGTAGTTTAATCTTCAAGATTTATAATTGTATAGTTTTTAACTGTAATATTTTTGTGTTTTAAAAACTCTTATTTTATTAGTATAATTTTTAACTTTTTCTCTTTCTTACCTCAGTAAATTCTTGTACGTTTGGATAGTTTCATATATAGTGTTGTATATTTATTTTCATCTACGTTATTTATTCACACCCACATAGCTGCAAATCCTGAGATTTGGGTTATTTCCCATTCTTGTAGTAGAACGTCACAATAAGCTATCGCTGATGTTTAATTTTCTACTTATACTTTCAACAAGCAATTGTGCTTCGTCGAAAACGATTCTGAGAGGGGAGCTACTCAGATTATGTGAGAATTCTAGTCAGAAATAGTGTATAAATATATTATTAGTAGTAAACGTAAAAGGAACATATTTAAACCACAGTAAAATTACAATTTAAGTATAGCAGTACATCCTTTATTATTTCCATTTATTTACAACGGAAATAGAACCAGGAGTTTAAAAATGTTTCTACTAATTAGTTTCTTATAATCTGTTTACAAAAATCAGGAGGTATAAAAGGAAAATATTTCTTTCAGTTTGAGTATAATTATAGGAGTGCTTTTTCAGTATATATCTTTTTATATGTTTGAAAATACGTTTAGTTGAATGTGATGACCTTCACTACCATCCACCATGTCGGTTTGTTATTATAAGCTATTATTCAAAATTGAAATTTAGATATTATTATATTAATTTCGTTAAAGCAAACATAAATTCAAATTTACCTTAGGCCTAGAAAAAGGAGTGTTTGGCTATTAAGTGAACGGGTTTGAATTTCGCTCAGACTCAGTTATTAAAACGAGCTCAAAACCCATTATTATTTCAGGTTTTAATTACAGTATATATTTGGTCAGTATTAAAATGAATTAGAATCAAGAATTTTCGATAGGGCTTATTTCCAGAAAAAAAAATCAGAAATGTCATTGTTCTAACCTCTAAGTTCCTGATGATAGAGTAAGCTTTCAGAGCAGCCAAGTCGTACTGATAAAATTTCGGGAGATTTGCCGAGCGTAACGAGGCGTAGCCTGCTAGGGGATTCAAGGGTATGCTCCCTGAAAAAATATTTGAATTTAGAAGTTTGAAACGGCACTTCCTGCATTCTGAGGCGAACACATTACTCAGACTTGAAATAGCTCTGCAAAGCTGAATATTATTTCACTGTTCTGCCTATGCCTGTTTGCAACGACAGCCATCTGATGCTGACATTCTTCTGTATTTTTCTGTATTCCACATCATAGAATTTGCAGTACTCCTCTAGATCTGCTATCCATTTCATGTTTTTGTCAAACTAGTAATAGATATCAATAAGGAAATCGTTCATGTCAAATTTTGTCCCTGATGTAAAAGCTTTTGAGCCCATTTCTTCTGTGTTGTGAACAATATGACATGGGCACCCCATGGAATACATTTTGGGTTTTTTTTGCATAGCATGTGATTTTATAGAGTTGTGTTTTACAAGGTTGGTGTTGGTGATGTCCACTAAAAATCCAAGACAATTTTTACACGATATGCCATTAGCTTCCATAACTTCATCAATCTTCTTAAATTTCGATATCGATGCTGCCCTTCTAGCATCTTTACCACAATGCAGGCACATGTCTATTAATTGTGATATCACAACACGTTTCTGTATGTTAAATACTCTCACTGTGAGGGCGATTAATTTTTTCAAGGCCATTGTCATTTGATCCATCTGTTGACAGTAAAAAATGGGTTTGACTGCATATGATTCACAATAGTTTTCCAGCATTCGGTAGCTAATGCTCCATTAATCACACATGTCATTTTAGTTCTGGCGGTCTAAAACTTCTCAGCAATTTTACTCTCAGGAAATATGTTCTTCTGGAATGGGGACAGATGATCAGCTATAGCGAGTGGTATGTCGTGATACAGTAGAAAAGTAGTCACCTTCACCTCTGCATTTGTGATCTACAACACAAGAATATCAGTTAATTACATCAGATAACGTTGGATCAGCTGTATGTTTAACCACCATCAAATACAACACTACATTTCTAATTTTTGCAACTATGGCAAGAAAAAAAATATTAGAAAAAAATATGTCCACCATCATTAAGCAGCACAAGAATGTTACAAAGTGTGGAAAAAGCAGTAGTACATTTTAGAGAGCAAGAAGCATCTTCCAATCATATTTTATAATAGTGACCTTAACCATGCCTAATGCTCTATATCCTATGAGAGTAAAATAAATCTAATTAAGCATGCTAAACAGATACACAAACATTGAATGTTTTTTTAAACTCAGATAATTTTACAATTTTAAACATTATCATGGTGGTCAGCAAACGTACTATTTCTAATAAGGATAAAAATTATAATTATCAAACTGATCGTAAGTTATAATTATAATTCCTGTATAGTTTACCTTGTCAGCAAGCGGGTTCAAAGCTTGAAATAAAAGTTTGGTCTGACTCTGTCTAGCTGATTTTATGTGTGCCTGAATACCTCCGGATCCTTGGTGCTTACAGCTAAGTACCTACAGTTACCAAAAAAAAATATTGCAGTCAGTTTTTTATTATAGTGTACGATAAATTACAATGGCACAAATGATACGAGTTGTTCTTGCAAACCACTGTGGGAGGGTGTGCAGAAGGCCACCACCTTCAGTTTTTATATATGTATTTGTTATTTTTTAAACTCTGCAATTTTACCACTTTTTTACGCAATATTAAAATTATGAGACTATTATAATATATATATATATTAGTAAAAAATAAAGATACATTTTTTCCCCTCAAATATACACCTTTTTTTTTCACTTAGCTATTGATCTATAAAGAATTAGAGTTATGTCCCTTAGAACACAGTGACATGAAATTTAATAAACTAGTTACTATAGACAATGTCAAGACAAATAAACGTCCTTTGATTTATCTTATGTACATTTTATTTAAATCTGGTGGTCTAATCGTAACATGATACCAAGGACAACAGCAATAAAGTCAGATAATTACGTTACTCACCAGTAACGATATGAAATTGTCGTCCAAAAACCGTTACTTATGATTTCAGTTCATTGAAAGGTACATTATGTTATATTATGCGTAGGCCTATTCCGTTCACCTTCATAATTGTAGTTTAAAGTCGCAGTAGATCTAAAGATAAGGTCTAAATTACACCTCTGCAGTAAATAATAATGCCTCTTTTAAATAGGGTTATAGGCTTAAAGTTAAAATAAATGCCATTTATTAAAAGAAGATAAACAACGTACAACACTTATATTTATAACGTCTGCTTGAGTGTAGTGAAAAAAAGTATATAACTATTAACACGTACATACAACTCTGACATAGCGGATTTCGGCTTTTTGTAGGTTCGCGTGAACGTCATTCAGGCTGGACTCGACCCAAATTGTGTTGGGGACAAGTTATTTTAGTATATGGTAGGATAAAGTATATATATATATACGACAGCGGAGGTCACGTGACGCTAGTAACACGTCATGATATTCTAGAAGATTCACGAAGAAACGAGATGTACGCTTCTTATACGCTTCTTGACCGAAACAGTTTAATGTGTAATTGAACTGCGGACACAGAGAGATGTATTGTTGAGTCGAGCACGTGAGACGTTCGTTGTGAATTACAGAGTTTGTTATAACGCGACTGTGTAAATTAAGTGTATTGCAAAGTTGTATTTAGAAAGAATAAACCAGTTTTATTTAAGAAAGGACTAATATCGCTAAAGTTTCTTCGGAAAGAAATTATACGGAAAATTAACTAACGAACAGAGACGTAACAATATATATATATATATAAAGAAAAAACTTTGCGTACACAAATGCTAGGGATCTACAGAAAAAGATGGTTCATTTGAAGTAATTTTATAATATTGAAATGAAAAAAAAGAAATTAAGCTTTTTTTTTGTCTCACATGCTGTATACAAAATTACGATGCATGTGCTTTTCAAATCTAAGCCCAACAGGCACCATTTATACTTGTAAGTAAATTTTAATGAATTTAAACTTGAAATCTCAACGGCACCTTATGCACACCTGGGCTAAACGGCCAGGACAAAAACACTAAGGATTGAGATATAGTCGTCCCTGATTTTGAACTACTGACCAAGATCAAAGCAACCAGCCAACAGCACCCGCCTTCACTAACTTTTTACAGCTCTCTGAACCAAATAGCGGGAATGACTGTTACTTTTATAAAACACTTACAGCTGAAAGGGTGGAACTTGTTCAACAGACCCTTCGACACCCATCCTGCACGCTAATTGTTAGTCTATGACCGGACCACTAACCCAATAAACAATCTAGTGTCATTATTTCTCTCTTGTAAGCTCTTGAATTAAGCAACTTTACGTTCAATCTGTGGCAATGAAGCTAACATTGAAAATATCAGTATAGGTATAAAAAACACAGTAAAGAAAACAGATAAAATGTATGTACTTTTTTATATTCATCAACAAAACATTACCCTTGAGAATCTTTCCAAGTTTTATTTTGTTTTGGTCGAGATCAAAAACTACTACATAGATTTCTTAGATTTTGCTACTAAGGTTTTTCTTATATGTACCTGTTCGTTTTACCCAATATGTAATTCTCGCCTTAACTTTCATAATATCATCAAACTGAAGTTGCTGCACATTGTTACTATATTGAGTTGGCAATATATTCTCACAGCTGAGTTGTAGAGGCTGTTTGGAAAAAGGCGCAATTTTCTTCGAACTGTTTTGTATGGCGTAAAACACCCGAAGGAATCTTACGTATTGACGCTCTGAGTTTTGTTGTTCCAAATAACTCATCTTTTGTGTGTCTTCGTGTCCTTCTTGAAGTGGAAAAATAAATAAACGCTTATATCACAAAATAAACCTTTTATGAAAAAATATAGAAAAACAGAAACTTAAATTAGTCGTATAAGTGCTGTTTTTTTATTTAGTGCATGTTTGTGTACACTGGAAAGTGTACATTAATACTTTATTATGTATGTACTAATTCAATATATATTAGGTCGTCAAGTAATTAATGCCGTTTTTGTTTAGATGAAAAAACCAGAACAACTTGTATATCAAAACAAAACAGGTATTAAATGAAATAGTCTCCATTCTTATCGATGCTGCTTTTCCATCTTACAATCCGGCTGTTAATGTCCTGATTAAAGAAATGTCCTCTTTAACACCTTCCACATTTACATACGTTTTCCCATTAAGATGGTATTGCAGGGAAAGAAAAAGATGGTAATCTGATGATGCCATATCTGGAGAATATGTTGGGTGGGGGAGAACTTCGCAACCCAACTTCATAATCTTGTGTTGCGTCAAACGTGCCACATGTGAACGTGCATTGTCTTGGAGAAGAACACCTTTCCGATTGAAGGGCGTTTCTGATGAAGGGCTTGATTTAAACGTTCAAGTTGCTAATTATAGATTTTTGCATTGACAGTTCGCTGTGGATTGAGGAGTTCGAAATGAATTACTCCTTTGATGTCCCACCAAATTCAAAGCATCACTTTCTGCGGAGGAGTCTAGCTTTTGCAATCGGAAGTGGTTTTTGTCTAGGACAGAACAATTGTTTTTGGCGTTTAATATTTGCATAGAAGATCCATTTTTCATCACAAGTGACAATTCTGTCCAAAAATGGTTCACGCGTATTACTCGCTAGAAGAGACGAAGCAACGTTCACACGTTGGAAACGATGATCATCGGTGAGTTCGTGAGGCATCCAAACACCTTCTTTATGGAGTTTTCCCATATTCCTTAGATGTTTACGTATTGTTTCATGAGAGACATGCGATTTCAGGGCCATTTCACGAGTGTGTTGCTTTGGGTTAAACTCAACATGAGTCTTCAGATCATCGATATCAATTCCAACATGTCGGCCTCTGCCATCACAGGTTTTAAGGCTAAAGTCACCTGAACGAAATTTGCTGAACCATCGTTGACACTTACGAACATTCAAAACATTTCCATAAATTTCTTTGATATTTGTTGTGGCTACAGAGGCGTTGTTTCCCTTCTTGTATTCAAACAGTATTACATGCCGAATGTGTGCCCTCACTATAAGGGTTTGTTTGTTTGTTTGTTTGTAGTTATGCACAAAGCTACACAATGGGCTATCTGTGCTCTGCCCATCACGGGTTTCGAAACACGGTTTCTAGCGTTGTAAGTCCGCAGACATACCGAATGTTAGTCTTATTTTCTTTTTCTTTTCTTTTTTGCACAAAACAAATAAAACAAGAACTGCGTTTACGGTTTCAGTTTCACGCAAAGCTACATGAAGACTACCTAGGGTAATTATCCCTAACTTGGCAGTGAAAGACTAGAGGGAGAGCAGCTAGTCATCACCACCCACCGCCAACGTTTGGACTACTATTTTACCAACGAATATTATAACGCCCCCACGCCTAAAAGGACGAACATTGTTGGTGGGTCGTAGATTCGAACCCGCAGACTGCGAATCGAGCGCCCTAACTTCCTGGCCATGTCACGCCTCTGCGTTTACAACGCTTATTCTTTTGCATCAGTCGTCCTTCTGGGCGCAAAATATAATCGACTAGTCACTGGATGTAACTAATGTACTAGATGTGTGATATAATTGTTATAAAAAGAACATATTAATATCATAGTTTTTATTAATCACATTATAAACATACTAATTATATGTCGTATTGCTTTCAACCTCTCAATTAGCTGTGTTTAAACACAGGAATACGGAGTCTAGACACTTGTACTTTATCTACCTATATATCTATATCTAGCTCTGTTTGCTCGTTCCCTTAATTATATTTTTGAAAATATGAAAACAATTTTCCCTCATCAGTCTTAATTTCTGCTTAAAAATATTGCAAATTTTCTTCCTTAAAATTTGGAAGTGAGAGCTGATATTCGTATTAATGATGACGAATCAGCTCAGATGAATTTGAGTCTCACCTAATCTAATTTTAATTCCTTCAAATTTTTTTTATTGAAACGTAACGATTAGTTGACTTATCAGACAATGTAATACTGCGCATGCAAATTTAAGCTTTCGCAAAAAATAAAAGGAAGAAGTTTTATTTCATAAAAGACACTTCCTCAAGGAATATGTGTGCACAAATTTAGCATTGCAATGTATTTGCTTGAGGTCAAAAAGATATGCAAACAGTAAACGAAATAGAAAATTTCTAACAAAATCAATATATATATATAATTGCGTGTCATGTATTCAATCTAGTTTATTTTTTATTCCAGTTTGAATTAAAACAGATTTTAGTTCTAGTTGCACATTAAATATTTGGTCATTTCTTTAAGAACATGATGCGGAAAGAGCCTTTTTCAAATTTTAGAAATATCCTTGAAAGAAATAACTGAATCGAACTTGTTATCAATAAGCCTTGGTTCAAATAAATTTCTAATAGTACAGTCTTGACCAGTAGCTTGCATACTGTTTTATATTGATGTTACTGCCCATATGCATGGACTAGTTATTAAGTAAATACTCGAGTAGTAACAGGGAAGGTAGCGTATTATCTGACAAACGTGTACGAATT